GATAATATTGATTTTAACATTCTAATTAGTTGGATTAAAACTTCTCACAGTGAATGTGTAATAGGTTTACGGGAGATAGTATTACAAACCATACTTACATAGCCTTCTCTGCATTTCGCGCCTCAAAGAAAACAAAGCGTTTATTAATAAAGTAAAAAAATATCTATCTAGTAAAATATATAATAAGACGTAATATATATATCAGATACTTACCATCTTTTATTTATGCTTTTATACAAACTTTTATACAGCCGTTTAAACATTAATTATTCGTAAGAATGTATCACTATTGATTGACACATGATTGATTGCTCCCAGATTGATTAGTATTTAACAATGGCACTACAAGTAAAAACAAAATGCAGTCTTAATATAATAGAACTAATTATTGTATTATATTTTAACAAATGTGATTTTAATGATTTATAGAATATATATAAATATATATATTTATTTAGAAATTTTTATTTTGAACTCAACGTTTTTAAAATCTCATCACATTTTATCAACAAAAAATCCAAAAAAAACAGGGAATCACATTTTATATTTGAACAATCATAGAAAAATATGTTTCCATACAACATATTGCATTTTTATTAATATTTATATATATGTATGTATCATGATAATATTAATTATTAAAACTAATCGTGTTTTTGTAGATTTCAAGTAAAAAACTATATTATCTGCAAATATTTTGTGAGGTTATGTTATGTACACAAAATAGAGAATTATATCAAGCAGTGTTCCATACTCACGTACATTGAAGACTATTAAATGCATGGACTACTGAATACATAAAATTATTTGTTTTTCTTTTTTTTGTGGATTTTCGATCCTCATAATCGCAATGTACTACATAAAATTATTTAAAAGACCGGCAAGAATGACATATAATTCCACATTTAAGACCTCACTGATGGATGCCTGACTGAAGTTGTATTGAAAGTGCACTCAGGTGCACAGTTCGCGCGGGTAAATATGAAATATATTCTCATTTAATTTTCCTGTAATTTTATACGTTTGTGTATTTTTATTCCGAGTAGAATTTATTCCGAGAAGAAAAATCGAAGATGGTAGCTTTATACGCTTATTCATGTTTTATCTGAATAAATATTTTTCCTGCTTTATTCCTATATAGCGTTTCGCTTATTAATTTCATATATTTTGATAAATGCATTAATTTCATTCATGTTATTATTGCCATTTATTTCATTAATTTTTCTTTTTTCTGGATATCTAATTCTTCTAATAAGTGATGAAATAACATTATCGAGTTAAAATTTTATATATGTATATATAAATTATGTATATATACACGGTGTCCCATTTTAAATGACAACCTCAAATTTCTCTTGAATAGTGCATTTTAGAGAAAAATGTTTCAAACAAATGTTTTGTGACTTCGAGGTGGACGTAAAATGATATCATTGGTTTGACCTTGGGTGGCGTTGTCAAGGTCAGGGCAAGGTCACTTCGAATTTTTTAAATGGAACCTTCCATTTTTCATTATATATTCTTGTAACTTACCTTGAGAGCTTTTCAAAACACTATAATTAAATCCATTTTCATTAAGTACTTCTCGAGTTATAAGGCTTACAAGTTACAGTACCGCCGGCATTAGTATTACCCAAGGTGTCCGACCGACGGCTAAAACCTCAAGAATTTTGTTCAGGATCATGACCTGGATAACATTTTTTGAGATCAAAGTCATTGGAGGCTGTTCTTCTTATTTTTATTTTTGCACTAAAAATTCATTTGTACGTAAAAATGGAAATAAGAGGTACAATTTCCAATGGTCTTGATCTTGATAAATGTTATCCAGGCCATGATCCTAAACAACATTCAAGAGGTTTTAGCCATCGGTCGGACATCTTGGGTTATGTTAGTGCCGACGGTACTATAACTTTCAAGCCTTATAACTCGCAAAGTATTTAATGAAAAAATATTTTATTATAGTGTTTTGAAAAGCTCTCAAGGTAAGTTACAAGAATATATAATGAAAAATGGAAGGTTCTATTTAAAAAATTCGAAGTGACCTTGCCCTGACCTTGACAACGCCACCCAAGGTCAAACCAATGATACCATTTTATGTCCCCCTCGAAGTCACAAAACATTTGTTTGAAACATTTTTCTCTAAAATGCACTATTCAAGAGAAATTTGAGGTTGTCATTTAAAATGGGACACATGCATACATAATACAGGGTATCTCAGACCTGTGCACCCCTTTTATCTCGGAAACAGAACATTTTAGGAAAAACTGTTTGAGACAAAAGTTGTGGGGTTCTAAATGATCTATTTAGTGATCTGATCAGTCTGACCTTTGGTGGCGTCACTTTGAATGTCAGAGCAATGTCACTTTGAATTTTTTAAATAGAACCCCTATTTTTTATTGCATGTTCTTGTAGCACACCTCGAGAGTTCTCTTTCCAAAACACTACAATAAAATAATTTTTCATAAAGTACTTTTCGAGTTATAAGGCTTGAAAGTTATAGTACCGCCGGCATTAGCATTACGTAAGATGTCCGACCGACGGGAAAAATCTCTTGAATGTCGTTCAGAATCATGTCCTGGATAACATTTGTGAAGATCAAGGTCACTGGTGATTGTTTCGAAAAATACTTCATAAAAAATTATTTTATTATAATATTTTGGAAAGCTCTCGAGGTGTGCTACAAGAATATGCAATAAGAAATAGTTCCATTAAAAAAATTCAAAGTGACATTGCTCTGATCTTGGTGACGCCACCCAAGGTCAGAGTGATCAGATCACTAAATAGATCATTTAGAATCCCACAGCTTTTGTCTGAAACGTTTTTTCTAAAATACTCTGTTTCCGAGTTAAAAGGGATATTCGAGTGGTTAGGTTAGGTTATATCAGACCGATCAGACCGATATGTCTGAGACACACAGTGTGTGTGTGTGTATATATATATATATATATATATATAGATAATATTAGTACAAAAAAAAACAATTTTATAAATTAGAGGTAAATAAAAAGCAGATAATAAATTTTAACTCGATAAACTAACTCTTAACTTATTTTTATTTTATATTTATAGTTATATATTTTCTAATTTTTAATGTATTCAAAAAAAGAAGGGGAAAAATGAAAATAAAAGAAAATTAAGTTTTAATCTCTTTTGCGTTCTCTCAAGAGAGCTTTTCTCTCAAGGGAGATTCAAAATTCATATATATTTCAAAAAGTTGAAAATGATAATGCAAACTTAAAAGAGAAAGGAAAAAAATTATTAATTTAAAAAAATGTATTATTAGGTACTTTAAAATAGGATTTCCTGGATTAGCTTATAAAAGAAAAATTTAATCACTTTATATTGACAACAGAAACAGTCCACCTAAAGTGAGATATTATGTGAAAATATATGTAAATATGGAAGTAATATCGAGATCTTCTGATCTCTTTTCTGTCAAAGTTACTTCCTGTTTTCTAGATACAGAGACAATTTAACGATAAAGAAGAGAAGTGAAAACTCGATTAACAAATTTTTTAAGTAAAAATTTAATTTGTCATAAAATATTTTCCAAACAACAACAGCATGTAACAACCAGAGTAACATTAAGAAACCCAAATCATTAAGATTCAAACAATTGTATTAAATTTAAAATAATTTCAGATTAATTCTCTAAACAAAATTCCACAATTGCATGTGCATAGAATTTAAAATCTCTTTTGAGTAACTTTAATATATATTAATGTAACTAATTATGTGCCTGTACACAATGATTCGTAATTACATTACACTGCATTGTGTACATTGTTAATAAATTAAATAACCGTGAAATTAAAACTAGAACAAGTTTGTTTGTTGCGATATGTATACATCACGTATGAAATTTCTTGCTATCAAGAAATTTCAAATAAATTAAAAACGCGTACTTAACCCTAGCTCTACACACTTGTTTTTTGCACGCGTGATGTATACACTGGGGTCCCTGAGACCCTATCCGTAATTGTTACCGTAACTTCCGTAAAAATGAATATATTTCTTAGCCAAAATTCGTATCGCCGTTGTGACCTCCGGACACGAATTTCAATTAATTTTTTTCCAATCGATGGAGAATTGATTAAGGAACAAGCCTATAATGTGTAAAAGTCGATAAATTTAAGAAACTTTGAGATATATAGGTTCAAAGAAAAAGAAAAATTTAGAAATGCGAAAAAATCTTGATTTAGAAAATTGCGCTGGAGTCCCGGGGACCCCATCGTGTGCAGCTAGGGTTAAAACTCAGGTTCTATTCAAATTTAACTAACTGCGATAGGTTTCATCAATGAGTAATTCGTGAGCTTCGTTTACCTCATAAATTAAATTTTGATAGCTTTAGTTGGACGTAAGTATGCAATACAGAGATGTGCAATTTTTAATTAATTATACAAGGTGACAAAAAAGTTCGGCCACGAAGTTTTGTATTATAAATTATTATTAACGTATATTTATAAAAATATAAACTCTGGAGTATTGTATCTTATTAAATACCAAAAATACTAATTAATATATCAAAATGATTTCTTTATTTTTTATACAAATGCTTCGAGAAAGCATCATGCCGCGCATCTTTTCTTGAATAAATTCTCCTGGGCAGCCAATAGAGTAATCTTTAATTCATCAACCGAAATCTTTTGATACAGAATATTTTTGATATTTAATAACATACTTCAAAGTTTGCGTTCTTAAATACGTTCTACCTAAACAACAAATTATTCGTTGTTATACTGACATTAAAATGACGCTTTTATGCCATTTTGACGTCGAAAAGAAAATAGTCGCAAAGTTTTGTTTATTAAATTATTACTTGGGTAACACATAAATCTTTGTGGTCATTTTTTTGCCATCCTGTATTACAAGATGTATTTGATAGCTCGTAATTCAGCAGTATAAGAATCAGGCTAATATATTCTTGTAATGAATATTGCAGAAAAAAAATTCATTACAATCGATAATTATTTAACTAATATAATATATCCCTTCTTTTTTAAAAATTAATTGAACACCCATACTCCAATTAATTGGCAATATTCTTGCGTAATCATGTCTAATTGAATCGGGCGAGATAATGCAACTTACATTTGTAGATTAAAGTTGCTTCTAGTGATCTTCCGACTCACAAATTAAGCTCACGAATTCGTGTTGAAAACGACGAACGGCACGAGAAATACGAACGAATAAACTTTATCAACGAGTCAACAACGCTTACATACAATTAGATCCCAATCAATCGCGATTGGTTTTGGTAAAAAAAATCCGCTCTGACTTCACGCAACGACTCGCGGAACGTGTACGCATAAACGTACAGAAACTTTCGCGTGAAGGTTTCAACACGGCGAGCGTGAAAATAACGAATCCTCCAGTCTCCACGAACAGTCAACGTAGGCTTACGGCAAGCTTATGACGAGCTTACGGAACGCGCTACAATTCTGCGACTAGAATCAAATTGCAATAATTGACTTCAGTCGGTATCGTTCACGCCAGAAGGGCGCGCGACGACGGGAAGCGGAGTCGGCGGTGGTGGCGGCGTTGGGGCTGCGAACTCTTCCTCCTCGATCTCCTCCTCGCCGAGGAGAAAGTTCTCGTGCACCTCCTCCTCCCGCGCTGGCTCCGGTAGCGCTAGCACGTCCTGGCCGTGCTGCTTCAGGTGGTCCTTGAGGGCGAATGCCCGACCGTACGACGCGCCGCATACATAGCAGCTAAACTTGAGATTGTTGTCTTTTTTATGAGTCTGGATGTGCGCGCGGACGGCATAGAGCGATGCAAACGGCCGCGAGCACTCGGTGCACCGGAATGGCTTCGTGTGGCTGTTCTTGTGGCCGGCCAGCTGCACCCGCGTTTTGAACGTCTTTGGGCAGTACGGACATGTGTAGGCACGCTCCTCACCGTGAGTCAGCAGGTGATGATTGTAGACGGAGGATGCCTTGAAGCGCTTTCCGCAATGCTGACAAGCGTAGGGCCTCACACCTGTATGTGTGCGCATGTGAAGGGTCAGGCAGTAGGACACACGAAAGGTCTTGCCACAAACCTACCAGTAAACAAAAATAAAAATTGTAACTGTAATTAAACAAATGAGGAAGACGAGATTCATTTTAAACTACAGCATTTTTACATAAGAAACTTTAGTTTACCAAAGATTGTGATTATAGATCTATTCAGAGGAAAGATTTGGAAGGTTTAACTCCTTTTTCAAAAATTATGATTAAAAGTTATAGTTATATAACAAAATTAAAATTTTTTCTCAAGAGATAATTTTTAAAAACAAGATAAAATAAGAAAATTTTTATTTATTATAAATTATAAAATTGTATTTTGTTAAATTATCTAATGATCTTATTAAACTATTTTATATGAATATAATATTTATTTTTATACGGAAAGTACAAATCTACGCTTCCAGTCACTTTTTGCAGATTCTCTGGTGTGAAAATTTTTCTTATAATTTTTATACAAATTGGAACATTTTTCAGAAATATTTGGAAAGTTTACATCTTCTCTCAGAATTTTTCATATATGCGAATTTATTTTTCATATATCTGAAACATTTTTCCTTATCCTAAAATTTTTTTTTAATAATTTAAAATTTTTTACATTTTTAACATTTCGTCAGAAATTATACTTACAAAAAATCTTTGAAATCTTACGATATTTCATTAATTAACATATATGGCAAATTTTGAGAAAAGATGTAGATTTTCCGAGAAGTGTTTCAATTTATATAAAAAAATGAGAAAAAATTATAAAATTATATAGAAATTCTGAAAAATTATATGAAAAATTCTGAGAAAAATGTTCACCTAGATTACAACTGACATTCTTAACAAGACCTAATTTCACGATTGTCTACCTCACAAGCATGTGGCTTCTCCCCAGTATGAATTCGTTCGTGCTTGACTTTCTCATGTGGTCTGGTGAACCTGCGACCGCAATGCTGGCACTGATAGGGTTTCTGACTGTCGCCAGGATCTGCCATTGTCACCGTCGTTGTTGCTGTTGTTATCGACGTAGTTGATGTCGCGACGATCGTCGACGCCATCGTCGTCGTCGACGTCACCGCTGACATCGTCGCTGACGTCGTTGCCTCCACGGATGAAAGTAAAGTTTGTGGAGTGGGCGACCGCGAGGGTGTCTGCTCGACGTGCACTGCCGCGTGCATTGCTAGACTTTCCGCGGAATCGAACTTCCGGTTGCAAACGGTGCATGTCACCGAGTCGCCTGTATGCAGCGCCATATGCGCGTCTTTGTACGACTCAGAGAGCGTTTTGCCTATAAAGCATTATTAATATATTGAGAAAATGAAAGTAAAAACGCTTGATATTGTCTATTACACAAAATAGTATTGTCTAATTATTTCCATATCATTAGAAATAAAATCTTTTACATGGTTTGAGGAGGGTCATTAAATACCTCCATGCTTTCGTATATCCACTCACAAAAAAATTATAGTATTAATAGTAATAGTAATTAGTGTCTTATTGTGTAAGTTTCAATTTTTTCTACTGTTTAAAACAACAGATATCCAAGTGTTGCCTTCTTTTGATTTGTCCTATATTTATATACTTAATTATGGCTCAATAAATAATTTAACAATACATTGCCACACTGTTCTTTTTAACTGATCTTCTTGCAGGGATTTTCCTTCTTTTCTCTTCTTTCTTTTTATGTCGAAGAGAAAAAGAAAAAAAAATAAATTTGTGCAAGAAGCTTATTTAAAAAACCTATAATATGAAAATCAAATTATTTGAAGAACGAAACAAGAAGCAGATTTATTACCACATTCGGGGCAAGTGAAAGTTGCGTTAGGAGTGCCTTCAGGTGCATCGACGTGTCTGGCCCTCACTGGCGCGTGCATCCTCGAGTGCAACCGTAAGCTTTTGTGAGAGCAAAATTCGGTACCGCACGTGGTACAGACAAACGTCTTCTGGTTCGAATCAGCTTCGCCATCGTGCACCTTCGCGTGGAGTTGCAAAGCCCTGGGGGTCGCGAAGCTCTGGTCGCAGTGTTCGCAACGATTATTGCCACCGAGACAGGCGTGCACGCGAAAGTTACCCAACTTGGAGAACTGCTGCAGGCACTGATTGCACTTGTACATTCGCACCGATGCGGTCGCCAGGCGTTTGTCTCGTACCTGTGATATCACATGTGTGTTAGGGAAACGTTAATTCTCATGTGACAAATACGTATCGCGCGAGATTTTTCTTCCGGTGAGAAGCGCGCCTTAAATCACACCTTGACACCCTCCACGTTCGAAAAGAATTTCTCGATCATCGGAGCCTTCACCGATTGCGGCGTCGTGACCTGAACCGGAGTACGGTCCCAGAATCTCTCAATTTGCACCACTTTTCTGGTGTAGAGCCTACCCTCACTGTCCACACATTCTTCCGTGCGCAGTGTGTTCATCGTTTGCCGCTGCCGTGGGTTCACCATATTCTCCGAGTTTTCGGATACCGCCGGACTTGTTGTCGCCAGATCGTTCATCTGTTCCGCCATCTCCAACAAAACCTCCTGGCCATCGTGGAATTGCTTGATGTGATCTAAGACGGAGTTGAAGCTCATTTCGCAACTGGTGCAACTGTATACAGCGTCAGATTCAAACTGTGACAGAACCGAAAAACGATATTGTTGTAAAAAATTAAATTACCGTAAAAGATTATTGTAAATAATTAATTTAGAAAGACAATTTCGTGTTAACGATCATTAAATAAGGTAAAAGTCCCAATAACTGATTGTTGTCGAGTAATTGTAAAATTAACAATATATCTGCAATGATTAAGACATTTATCAATAACAACAAGAAAATGGCATATTTTATTTTATATAAAAATAAGTATAATAAAACAAATACTTTAATTGCAAATTGTGAAAAAAATGGTTTATTTCAAGTGTTTACAAAGCACCTTTGATACACCATAGCTCAGAAACTATGAGAGGAGAGATATACTATCTAAAGATATACCATCTATTATTGAGCCTTGTGTGAGAACATATTTTCATCACATCTATTCATCACATTATTTGAAAACTAATTTGTTTCATTGAGACCTAATTTTCCAATTAATATGGTCCTTTCCCTTAAGCATTCTTTTTCAGATTTAATTAGGATGTTCCAAAAGTAACGATAAATCTTCCGTACAGGGGCAGAATGGACTAAACTGAGAAGAAAAGTCCAATACCATTTTGCAATTTTTGCAATAGTTAAGGGGATGCTCGAGTTTTCTTTTTTACCGATAAAGCAAGCGTTTATGTTAAATGCAATATTTTACGAATTAGTTGCACAGAATAAAAATTCCTTCTCCACGATTGAAATATCCGTGCTAATGTACCTACTCCTGGTGTGTTTTGTGTCCAAAGCTGAGAAAAACAATAAATTACAGATTTCTATATCCATGTGCTATCAGCTCATCAAACATTTACTTCGTGAAAAAATTATATGCACGTTATATGCTCGAAATTAGGGCAGGAGCATATGTAGAATAAAAAGACGAATACAGTCATATCTTTAGAATTGAGTTTTCACCTCTAAATAAAAAGACAATTGCATTCTACGAAATTGTGTGTCTAGCGCGTGAGAAATCGACGATGTACGACAGTTTAGACTGTTTAGCCATGAAACCGAGCAGTATTTTAGTTGATCTCTTTCTAAGAGATAGCGTTGCAATATGTTAGATAAGAACAGATATGCGTTTGAGCGAGACACAACGATATATAATAACCCTCACAGCACATCAACATTGAAATAAGGTTACAGTAACTTTAAATTGTAAGATTGTAACATTAAACGGAAATTAATGAACCTACCATTAACCTCTCAGTAACATGAAAATGATCTTCCAAACTGATTACATTAACATTCCAGGAACCTCATGTTGGTAAAAATAAGAAAACGCAGTACTAAAAAGTTGATAAATTCTAAAAAAAATTCTTAGAATTCTATAATAAATAATTTTTGTCTTTTGCAGTTTTTTTTTCTATAAAGTTGATAGTATTTTAGTAAAAAATTATTGAAGATCAACTTTCAGCAATTAATTTTTGGCAATTAATATCTTATTAACTATTGTGAAAATTGCAAAATAGTAGAGGACTTTTCTTTTCAGTTTGGTCCATTCTGCTCCTGTGCAAAGATTTATCGTTAATGGAACACTCTGTATATGTTAGTATTTTTCAATCAACGACGAAACAAATTTTCATGTATACTCCTTTTGTAATACCATTAAGTATTAATCAATAATATAGAATTGATCACATACCTTCTCATTAGTTCAGTTATTAGAACATTTACCTTACATACATTAAGGTATAAATATAATCCTCCAAAGTATAATTTGGTTTATGATATACCTCGCACAGCTCTCGCTTGACACGCAGAAGATCAACCTCGTCAATCTCTGTTGCCTCATTTATACGATCCACATCAATCAGGGTAGTGGTCTCGGTCCCATCCAGGAGTTCGGAATTATCTGGTAACACAGCAATTATGTTCTTCTCCATCAACACCTTGCGGTCCGGATTCGATATGGGGATAGCCACCAATCCTTGCGACGACTGCAGTCTTCTTTGCGCTCCACCAACGTCACCGATGAGTCCTTCGGACATCTTGAAATCCAGAGAATTTTGATCTGGTTGCGTTTCTTCCGTGTCCATCTTTTCTACGACTTTAATCTCTCCTGATGTTTTTTATTAGAAGCAATAGATTAAACGCACAAAAACTCCTACGCAACAAAACAGCAATTTTACAAACCATTCTCGTCCATTTGTATCGTTTGCGGATTGCTCATTATGACTACTCCGTTGTTGCCCATGGTTGCCAGGAAGCCTCGATTAAGCTGTTGTCCCTTGACATCCTAAAATTAACAATTGCAGTTAAAAAATATCTTTAGTGGAAAGAGCAATAATAACCAATAATAACCAAACAATTTTTATATATAGACTACTATTACTTTAAATATTTTAAATAATATGAAATAAATATATTAATTCAAGATCACAAGAATTCCACCCAAGGTTTGTTTCACAATTATGTTTCATTAGATTTTCACGAACTCTCCATTTTAAACAATATTTAAATCAACATTAAATAAATAGTTATTTCAAGACTCTTAAGAATTTTACTCACAGTTTGTTTCACAATTATTGTTTCATTAGATTTTTTTTAAATTCCATCTAAATAATATTTAAAATAAAATGAGATAAATGTATTTGAGAAACTCGAATTTTTTTCAATAGTTTCAACAAAAATTCGTGTTCTCCCTTTTCCGTACCAATAGCAGATCCATTTTGATTTCAGGCTCCTTTCCGCCTTTTCTGAACTTGTCCGTAAGAATCTCAGGCTTCATCCTGTACCTCAAATCGTGCTCGCACATGTCCAGGTGCTGAATGAGCGCCGTCACAGAGTCGGAACGCTGCGAACAGCCCGGACAATAGAGATTGTCAGTCATGCTTAGCAAGTGGTATTTAAGGGACTGAGTATTATTGAAGGTCTCTCCGCAACACATGGGGCAGATGAGGTTTAGCGTGCCCATAATTAAGCCGTCGTGCTTCACCAGATTCGGACAATCGGACGCAGCTCTGGTTGTGCCGTGAAATAATCTACAATTCGGTCGGGTGATTTAACCTAACGCGGAACGTCGACGAGAAGTCTTTGCAGAAACGTATCTGCGGCAATATCATTTCGTCTGCCAAATATCCGGCGAAATTGTGCACACGTCGAACCAGGCCGTCCTCTCCTTCCCCCTCACAGCGGTCCAGAACCTGGTCACCGCGATAACAAATCCATTAGAGACGAACTTCAGCGCAAACAAATGCCGCACACAACAATCGTGGAGCAGAAATCGGCCATTTACAACTTACAACTGTCGCGCCCTCTAGATGTTGACAGCCGGCTAAAGCCCTGCGCATAATAGAAAAAATATTAGACACATGAATAAATATTAAATAAAAACAAAATAATTATTAAATTTAGAAAAACATTTTAATCTGATATTGAAATATTAATTTTTAATTTTTAATTTTAAAAAATTTAAATATTTATTTTATTTAATATTTTTTTTTAATATTTTA